TCTCACATTCAGAATCACATATGCACACTTACATAAAAAATGTATCAAGAATGATAACCATTTTCTTGCATATTAGCATACTGAGTGTACTTCTAGTGTTATCAATGTGTGAATTAACAAATGCACTTAATCCCAATGATGCATTATCTTCAATCTTAAAATGAAGATAGAAGGGATAGAGTGTTTGGTGCAGCATTTAAGTTGCACCCTGGAAGGCCTGCCTATTTTATTAGTGTTCCTGGTTCAAATCCAAGCTATTCCATTTCCAATCCATCCTCCTACTAATGGACATCTTATAGACAGCAAATGACAGTTTCCAAGTGGGAGATAGTTTGAGCTCTAGATTCCAGGGTTTCAGCCTGGCTCAGTCTTGGTTGATACACGCTTTGGGGAGATGAATCAATTAATAGAACCAGCAGAGTAAAGTTTGTCACTGTCAAACTCCCTACATAAAAAAGAGAAAGAAAGAAAGAAAGAAATCAATCAATCAATCAATCAAGGGCCTAGCATGATGCCTCAAATGGCTGTAGCAACTGCCAGGATCCCGTAAGAGCACTGGTTTGCTTCCCAGCTGTGTACTTCCCATCCACCTCCCTGTTTATGGCATGGGAAAACTAAGGAGAATGGCCCAAAGCTTGAACACTTTGCACACAACAGAGGCCTGGGGAAAGTTCCTAACTCCTGGTTTCAGATTGGTTCAGTTACAGCCATTGCTGCCATTTGGGGAGTGAACCAGAAGATGGAAAATCTGTCTCTCTCCTTCTCTCTCTGTCTCTCTTTCCCTCTATGTAAATTCTTTCTTAAAACATTTTGAAATTAAATTCAAGATGCAGGAAAAGGGTAATTATCTAGTGCTGTTGAACTGTATGAAGATATTATTCAATCTATAATCTATAAATAAAAACACAAAGGTTGCATTTATGCCAGTCTTCATTAAATCAGTGCCAGAAAAACTATTATTTTACAGTTTCATAACTGCTTTATGAAAATAACCCATAAAATGTATTTGGACAGCTTACAGACTGGTGAGGTGTGAAGATAAGTGAAACTGGGAACAGGCTGGCTAGCCACTCTAGTTGCCAGATGTGGGGAGAGTATAGAATTCATGAGATGGTTAAAAGCAGAAGTAACACATTTTAACACGGTTGGATGAATTTGAGATAAATTATGCACAGCAGTGTGGCGAGTTAGAAATATTACAAATAATTTGAATACAACTAATGTGTGTTAATGGTGTTTCTTTGGGTCCTCCCTAAGGAGGCATCCCTGTAATTCAGCTCTCACCCACTCTTACAGGATCTGAACCTCAAACCTGGTCCTCAGGTTTCTGTCTGAACTTCAGATTTTCTTGTCCAACTGCTTGACAACCAAGTCAATGTGGTATTCTCTGGCGGTTTCAAATTTCAAAACATCCTCAACTAAACTAATCCCTAACCCACTTTTCTTCTAGCTTTACTCATTTCAAATTAGCAGAATCACCTTCTAGCCAAGCTGAAGACTGTTTCCACTTTGACCTCTTCTCACCTACCTTCTATATCTTCTCAGTTACTTGCCTCAGTTAATTTTATATGCTGGAAGACTCAAAATTTATTCACCTGTGATTCTTTCTACTCTTCCTAATGTATATTGGTTTCCTATGTGATCCATTATTGTTGCATTGAGAAATGCTTAAGATAGAACTTTAGCGAAACTGAATTATGCATTATAAATACTCAACATATCTTGTTGTAGTTATACTTTCACTTGATCCAAGCCTCTGTTATAGACTATCAGCACACTTTTTTACAGTTTTTGCATTTATATGGGTCTGCTTTCTTAAATAATGCCATCCACAAGTACAAGATTCTTGTATTATTTGTTTGTAACCTCAACAATGATCTTAACAGCTATGCTTGGTGGTATCAGAAAATGTTGAATAAAAGGATTGCAGATGCTATAAGACAAAAACATTGAGTAAAAATAAGGTTGAATTATTTTATTAAAGTGTATTTATGTCTTCTTATTTATTTGAAAAGAAGAGTGACAGGAAGAGACAGATCTTCCATCTGCTGCTCTCTCACCAATAGCAACAGCAGTCAGAGCTGACCCAGCTTAAATTCTGGAGGCCATAGCTCCATCTAGGCCTCCCACATGAATGACAAGGGTACAAGAACTTCAGCCATCATGAGCTAGCTACCAAGGTGCCTATTACGTAGGTCTATCTGAGTGTCCCAGGCACTCTTCTATAAAATGTGGCATCCCCAGTGGCAGGCTAGCCTACACTGCAGTACCTTCACCAGAATTTTTAATTGTATTTTTAGTACCAACTTATTTCATTGCAGATACTTTGAAAATGTTGTCTGCGTGTAACTCAGTTTTACATTAATTCCTCATCTTTGCTGAAACAGGTTTGTTGAATTAGTCCAGGTGTTTCATTTAATTGCACATTTCTCCCATCTTCTCCCCATTTCACTTGCAAGACAGATGAAAAACCCAGCTTGTAACACCTCTTTAAAATCTTATGTTATTTCAAAATATTCACATAAAAGGGAGTCTAGATCCCCATATTATCTTTCTTCTTATTTAGTCTTTTACATTAATATAGTTGGGTCTTAATCAAAGCCAATCTTGGAAAACGTCCTAAACACAAATAATATTGTGACATAAAAATTAACAAGAGCAAAGAAACTAATACGCCAAGAATTGGATCAAAGTACTCATCATCTCCCAATCCAGATGGAGCTCATTTATGTTCCTAGAGAGCCGAGACTTGGGGTGGCCTTGGAATAATTAATGATTTGGGAAATGAAAGTGCCAGACTGTGGCAAGGAAGGAAAAAGAAACTGTGGAATAATAATTCAAAGGGAAAAACCTTAAAGAAAATATACTTAACAGATTCACAACATTCAACTGACTGCAAATTAATCAACCAACCACCCATCATCACTTGAGTTACACACTCCTGGTAGTCCTACTTTTATCTAATAACAGCTAATAATACTAGTTTCATTTTTACTGAGGTCAGGCCAAAATGTAATGCCCTGGCCTATTAACTTATATTTGGAGAATAATGATATCAAAATTCCTTTGAGATTTTGTTTTTCTTATTATTTAAATGATTTCATTGCATCTAAATGCTGCATTATAAAACAAAGCAACATCAGATGTTAGAAGGAGATTGTGGTATTTCTCTAAAGTTCATAAAGCTTGTTCTTAACTCTCTCACCCCAAACATCTTCCAGCAAAGGCTCACAGGAAGTAAGTACCTAATGCACCAGGTATGATGAGTAAGACAAAACTTGGCCTAGGAAGAAATGGATGTAATAACTAAGGCAGTTGGTATTTATTTTGACTTATAATAAAATACAATTAGCATTAATTCAAGTATATATATAAAATGGTTAGAACCAGATTTCCTTTCAAGAGTGGAAATGTCTTTGGGAAAAGATGTTATTAAGTTCTTTCATTTGGATTACCAGATGTCTGAAAGGAAAACAAACAGGTTAATATTGTTAATAATAATGACAAAAGAACAAGCTTTTGCAGGATGACAAGAGCAGGAGAGAAGATTGTAGAACAATGTGTCACAATACTATTGTTAATTAACAAATTTAAAAACACAGAGTTCTGAGTTTTGCATTGTGACTTAAGGGGGTTTGTAAGACACACATCTCTGATATTCTCAGAGGATGCATTCACACAGACATCTTTGCGTAAGCATTATGTTGTTTTTATTGGTTGTCATTTTATTTTGCTTTCTTGGCTTTCAATGGTGAATTAGGCAAGGCGCTGAAGTAGACATCTCCTCTGAGATCTTGTGCAATAGTATCACATGATGAGTAGCACCATGACCCACACACTGAACTAATTTAACGCCAACAATAACTTGGAGCCAAAAGTCAGCCATGAGCCCGTAAGCCTCTGAAAACATTTGTGTACATTTTGAGAGAACCCTTGATTTATTCTGGAAGGAGAATGGGATTTGAGGCATGCTTACCTACATACTAGGGGAGATAAAGATACTTTCCCATCCCCAGTCACATATAGGTTGCATTGAACTCTTCTCATAATAGGGGAATTTATCAATTTAAAATACCTGCTTTCATTAATCTATGTACACCCTTGTGAATAGGTGTCTCAAAATACTACATACCATCATATCATAGAAAGAATTTAGATGTAGATAACCAAATTTTGAATTTATAGTACTTAAGGAACTATAACATTGTGAAGCAAATGACAGAATATAAAGGCAGACATCAAAAGGATTGAGAGGGTAAGAGTATCTAGACCTGTGAATACAATAGTAGGTGTTTAGGTGCTTATTTGTATATTTTGTTTCATTGTAGATGTAAAGTTTGATCTTTCATGGACACTCACCTCCAGTTATTTTAGTTCCTAACTACTTAGAATATCCCGGCACAGCATAAGATTCCTGGGGCAGATGAAAGAATAAATGCTGGATGGTACTGCCCTGGACACTAAGGAGTTTAAAATCTGCTTGCATAGATGAGATTTCTAAGTTATAAGAACAACCTTAATTGCTTTGCCTTTTATGGAACACCGATATACACTGTATTCCATTTCACATTACTAGGTCCAACACAAGCGTGAGGAAGAGCAGTGTTTACCATCTTAATGTTCAAGCTGTGGATACCAAGAGCCAGGGGAGAGAAATGACTTCAACACGGCCACAGAACCACCTCTTACTAGACATACTTACGGTATTCCACACTACTGCAGGCGATAAGCACATTCAGACACATGTAATGTTTTAACTATTGCACTAAAAGAATTTTCAGGGGAGAAACATCATATTACAACGAATATGAAGATTATTTTTACTTTCATATGAGGAAAAAACTACTCCAATGTTTACGAAAAAGGTTCCCTACACTTCTTAACGATTTTATCACAGAAATCCCAAGTTGTAACTTGTGTTTTTGGTTTTATGCTAACTGCCCATGTTCAAAAACAATGAATAAAGCTGATTTACGTGTAGTTTCCCAGCTGCCTCCTACCTTGCAAATCCCGAGGAACTTGTCACTGGTGTATTTCACAGGGTGCTCAGTGAAGGTAGCGTAGGGAACCTGAGTGGACCATGGGTTCCAGCGGGACAGCAGTGACTGCTCCGCTGGACTTCCCCAATAGATCCTAAGGCCTTCTCCTTGTCTCCTACAAGAAAAGGGTCTTCCATTAGCTATTTTCATTAGCACCAAAGCAAAAAGAAAAGGACAGCTGGAAAGAAATGCAATATTTCAGTGAACCTAGTTAACCTTATATTGCCGCTGGAATAAGCAGTTTAACTCTCATCTGATTAAGTCATTGAAGAGACTTCAGGAGATGGAGAGAAAGGGATGAATCTGTTTAAAACAGGTGAGTTCAAGGCACGGCAAAGAAGTCTATGTGGAAATACTTGGTTAGGAATGTGAGTGCAATACAGTGGCCTGAGCTGAAAATACAAATTTCATGCTCACATCCTAATAGGAATAATTAAAAGAGAAAGAGGGAAGGATGTCAAGGTGGGAGAGTTTTAAGCAGAAATGAGATGACACAGCAGCAGTGCCAGCTTCCACAAAGCAGTAAACATAAGACCTGATGAGAAGATGGATGAGATGTTCCCAGCAGCAAGTCAAATATGATCTTTAAGAGGAATGATAGCCACTCCAAATGTCCTGTAACCACAGCTTCTATGCGCCTCATGCCCCTCTATTCTCTACACATAATCCATTCAGTGAAACTGTGGCAATGAACAGGTATATTTTGTAAAGGAGTATTTGTCTTCCCCTTGCCACTAAGTTCACAACCTTTATGAGTAATCAGAATACAGCCCCATTGAGTTTGACCCAGGCCCAGACACCTGGTAAACCCAAAAGCCTAGTAAAGTCAAGTCAGCTTAGAGGTGTTGAGGGAAAACTGTGGGAGAGGAGCATGGCTGAGTTGAAAAACAAAACTGTGTTTTGCATGTATTTTTACAGATGCGCTCATAAGAATTTATGGTTGGTGCTTTTAGACACCCCTGAATGCAAGAAACTCTTGGAGGTTAAACCAGGCTCAGGTGCCTTTCATTTAATCAGCTTTAAAACTAAGTTGCCTGTAATTCTACACAGTCCTATGGGACATCACAGGGGGCTGACTTTTTTTTTCTAGAAAATTAAATCCTGGATTTCTACAATAAAAAACTGGGGCTTAATTGTGGTGCCTCCACAAAGCTGTCACTTCCTGTATTAAGGAAGGATTCCTTTGGGAATGCTATTGTGGTTTCTGAATGTTTATCCAAGGAGAGATGTGTATAAACACAACCTCACACATGTGCATTTAATACCCACTCCCTAGTTGGCTGATCCCTGGGCTGCATCTATCAAAAGGAACTTAGGAAAAGAGCCTGGTGCACACTGCTGCCCAGGTCTCAGATTTTCAATGACTATATTTGAAAGCTGACACCCAACCATTTCGCACATAGTCATTCACCCAAGAATAAAAGAGAAAGAATATGAAAGAAAATAAGGGGAAAAAAAGAAGAGGAAATGAAAAATAGTGTGTATATCTCTGAAGTTCTTTTCTTGGTCTCTCACCTTCCCAACTGCCATTTTGAGATTTAACATCCTCTATCCTACAATCTTATTTTTGTCCTGATAATAAATCCTAAACTCAATGAATATTTAATGCATGATGGTTAATAGATCATTCTGGCTTGAGTCCATTGAAACAACTTGCACAATGAAATTATTTATTGCTTCATATGTCAATTTATGTGCTGGGTGTAATTTTTGCTTTTATCCAAAGGGGATGAAAATCTGCCAAGAAAGCTTCTCTATTAAGTATACTTTTCATTATTCTACCATGGGAAAGTCCCGAATGAAAGTTAAGTTTGAAATTTAAGTTTAAAATTTAAACAGAACCATGATTTCTAGAGAATCAATCAATTTGAGAATAGCAATGCCTTTTCTCAGAGGTATCACACACTTGTAAATACACAAAGTCAGTCAACCTTCTTTCCTGAGCTCTACAGGTAAAAAGTAGGAAGATAAACAAAAAAAAGGCAGAAAGAAAGACAGAAAGAAAGACAGAAAGAAGAAAGAAAGAAAGAAAGAAAGAAAGAAAGAAAGAAAGAAAGAAAGAAAGAAAGGAAGGAAGGAAGGAAGGAAGGAAGGAAGGAAGGAAGGAAGGAAGGAAGGAAGGAAGGAAGGAAGAAAGAAAGAAAGAAAGAAAGAAAGAAAGAAAGAAAGAAAGAAAGAAAGAAAGAAAGAAAGAAAGAAAGAAAGAAAGAAAGAAAGAAAAAGAGAAAACAACTAAGAGGGAAATGCAGAGAGAGTAAGAGTGAGACAGGCCTTTCATCCACTGATTCACTCCCCAAATGACCAGAGCTGGGCTCGACAGAAGCCAAGGGCCAGGAGCTTCGTCTAGGTCTCCCATTTGATGCAGGGCTCTGACTACTTGGGCATCTTCCACTGCTTCCCCAGGCACAGTAGCTGGGAGCTGGCGGCACCCAGGACTTCAACTGAAGCCTGTAAGGGATGTTGGTGCTGCAGGTAGAAGGTTTAGGTGAATGCACTAAGCCACAGGGCCAGCTGTGCCTTCCTTCCATTAATGAAAAATAGAAATGTGGAAGCTACCATGACTTTCTTAAAGCATCACTGCAGGATATAAACAAATTGACGAGAACACTGGGGCTCTTCAAACGTTACACAGGCATTTTTCCCAATTCTGGCTACTGCTAGTAAAATATTCAACACTCAAGTTGTTCTAGCGTACAGTGCAGGCTTATTTCCCATAGACACTGAGTTAAAATTGTTTTTTCTTAAGGAGCCTATCACTGACTGTGAGCAGAATATTTACCTAGGTACCCTAGGCACACCTAAAAACAAAATCTCACAAAATGAATAGATTTGCGTATAGATTCAATATTGGCATTTATATGACGGCAGAATAAGTAGAACTGATAGTGAAAGGGAAAATTATAGGCAAATTATGTGGCCATAGTAAAAAAAAATGGATAAACAAGTCATATGGGTTTTTCTCAAAGAGATATTGTGATAGGGTGAACCACATAGGGGTATAATCCTGTATCAGAAATGCTCACACCAAATTATTAATCAAAGAAAGAATTGGCACCTGTCATTCTGAAATGCTGTTCTGGGTGTCACTTGTGAGTGGTACTAGCTCGTGTCTTTGGGCATTTCACACCAATCTTCCTCATGTTTAGGCAACACTAATCCCATGAGGATCAAAAGAAGAATGGATGAAAAATGTATCGTGTATTTTAAAGCACTTCCTATCTAGAAAGACAGTAATGAATTTCTATTCTGTACTATAATCCCTACCATGTACTGTCAAAAGGTAATATTATAAATTTTATCTAAGCTACACATTTTTTATCTATGTCAGTAGACATAGACATAATTTTAGAGAAAATGAACAAATGTTACAAGATTACCAAGAATCACTAGTGAAACAGAATTAAAAGCCAAGCAGCACTAGAGAAATGAAGAAAACGGATAAGGGAAAACAACCTGAGCCTTGGGCAAGATCAAACCAGAAAAGCAAATTCCAAGCACAATAGCAAGTCTGGGAGTTCCCTTCCATCTTCAGCTGTTGCTCCCTCTTCCCACCTGATTCTGAGTTCCAGGATAAACCGGTGCCCAGGCTCTGCTGTCCATCAATAATTTCAGATACATAATTTCCTACTTTAAGTTCATCAAGATTTCTCCATTCAGAGAGTTCAAACCATTCCTTTACTTCTTTCTTCAGATTGAATAAGCTTTTGGAATAAATTAAAAATAATGTTTTGATTCACCACAGAGATGAGATCCTAAAACATCCCTAGATTCCCTTTCTTCGATTCCATTTTTACATCATATGTCCTCTGGGCACAGCATCCTGGGAAGTAGAGAGACAGAGGAATCAGTTCCTAAACTCCACACGTCCGTGGCCCTACAGTTTATGATCCAAGCAGACTTTCCTTAGCCATACCCCATACTGAAAACTACTGCTGAGAGAAACCTGTAAATCTCAACACACAAGCAGAGAAGGCCCTATTGCAGTGAGATTTTGTTCTACGTTCTGTCTTTAAAAAAAAATAACTGGCTGGATCTGGCTTCCATTTCCCCTAGTGGAAGCAAGAAGCCTACCATCTTTACTTCTGGTAAAGTTCAAGGCCTCTGGCAAACAGGCAGACACAGAGGAAAACTTTCATAGGGATTTGGCAGAAGTTTTACAATACAGGTGTTTAGCAATATAGACTATGTAAGTTTGGAAACCTCTTCAAGGCAAGGACCAATTCTTTTATTTGTAGCTTTGTAACCAGGGACCAACATTTTCAAAGATCCCAGTTGTTAGTTGAGTTTGTTAATTACATGTTGTAGTCAGGGTCTCAGATCTAGAATTCTTCTCAAACACAGCAGTTGGCACGGTGAAAGGCTTAAGTAATTACTACATTAAACCATAGACAGTCCATAGAAAAGTCTCCTTCCCCACCACAAAAGTAAAGACATGCTAAAGAAACGAGGTCTCCAGAGAAGAAGCTACAAAGGATTCGATTGTGGAAGATAAATATGTTTAAAGAAGGCATAGCTTTGCCCCAAGCTGAGTGGAGGAAAACCCTGTTGGATAATAAGCTTCGTAAGATAAGAAGTTATTTTTGGAAGGACTCCCTTTCTTCTTGAAATCAGTGTTAACTGAACCAGAAAACATGGCAACTGGTTGCTAGCCTGAATGAATTTGCTCATTCCACACATTCTTCTTTTTGCAGAAAGAAGCCAAGCAGCCTTTGGCCTAGGACAACACGGCCAGCTTCCTTCTGCTCATGCTACTTTCCTGCTAACCAGGCCTGGCCTGGGAGAGATCTCTGCAGGCACAGTCATGTCCCTGTTGCCGAAGCCAAAGCAGGACATGAGCTCCACAGAAGCAGAAAGGCAAGCCTCCATGATTAGCTCTCAGCTGCCCCACCTTTCTACTCTCACATCTCAAAGCTCCACCACGGAATTAAAAATATAGCTCCAGGCTCCAAACTGAGATTTATGAGAGAGCACAGACATTAACTCTTGCTCTAAACGCAGGGCGTGTGCTTGTAAGTATGGGTGAGCAAACAGAGGGAGGCCTCTCAGGGTAGGAAGGCAGCCAGAGGAGGAGAGAGCAGAGCAGAACAACACCGTGTATTTTCTTAATGTCTCCTC